TTATAATTATTAGTTAAATGACCTTTTGTTCAAAAATTAACAATAACATATTATTACCATTGATTTTTTTACTTACTTTGATTATTATTTTAGGTGCTTTGTATAATCGCATCATCGAGATGACATACCAATATATATATATATATAAATAATAATCATTTTAAAAATTACCGCCGCCTCGACGGATCAGAGTGCCAAACATCATGTCGGTTACGTTTGGAAAATAGGAAAACAGTGCGTCGTTGAAAAAACTTGCGTAACATTTGAATGTACAACGGCAAAACCACCCTTGTCTAGACGTCGGCTTGCAGCTCTTCTCATCCTAATAATTGAATAATCAACGTATTGTATACTGTATACCTACGTCGCGTGTGTTCGCCGTTTGTTTTATTAGATCCTAAGACAATAATATAGGTACCTATAATAGTATAATACCTGTCTAGGATATTATAATAACTATATAGCGATTCTCGTCTCTTATCCTCCGTGTTGCCTTTTGTTTTCGCGCGTTCGTGGCGGGGGGGACGGCGTTTGTCTCGTATATATATATAGTCGTATTTCTTTATTGTTTTTATCCGCGGCGGCAAAGAGACTGCACCGCCGCCTCCGGGGGAACCCATCGTTCCCGCCAGGTTGATTAGTATTCGGCGGCGCGACAGGGAAAAAACGCAAACACAAAAAACGCATAGCATTGTGTGCAAAAATCTCTCCGAGTGTATATTATATTATACTGTTATAATATATTCGTAAAGAAAGAAATAATATGATAATCACAATAGGTACTCTATTATAAATTATTATATTATATTATAATATGTTACACGTATATTACATAAATATATATATATATATATAACAATCAGATTACAGGTTGTCCGTCTTGTTCGTCTTCGTTGCATTTATTCGCTGTCATTGGGTCCACGGCATAAAAATGGAAGAGGGGGGGGGTTAAGAATTAGGAGCAAAATTTTCACCTGTAAAATTAATGAAAGTAATTTAAACTTATTACATGTTACTATACTTACAGATTATTATTTACTTGTAGTTAAAAAGTGATAAACCAAATAGATTATACATAAACACGTACAATTTTGTTGGCACTTTAAGTCAAAGACTATAAAAGTATTACACAACTTTTAGAAATTTACTGATGTACATAAAGGTATTTTTAAACAGTACCTATGTTCTAAATATATAAGCAAGACCTGTTGTACCCGTTTGATGATCCACTATATAAATATAATACGCAACAGACTTGCCTAAAGTTTAAAATTTATACCTCCAACTATAGTATACCGTTATTAAAACTTATGACAAATTATACTAAATTGACTTTTAAAATATTCATGTATGATTATTGTACGCTATACGTTATTCACAAATTAGCCATTTGTTTTAATTTTTTTATATCGAACTTGAGTGAACCATTATATCATATAATCGTGCAGGTTTATAATACTTTTCGTGGTAATACTCAAAAGAATAAAAACGTTCAAAATTAAATTTAAAAATATATATCGAAAAAAGCCTAACCTAATCTCTGAGTTCAAAATAATGGCGAGATGCTATTATAATATGTGTACTTATTTGCTTACGCGTATATCGTCTTTTTATCGAGCACGACATAAGTACACAATTGTACAACACCTGTTTACATTATTATAATATTATGAAATAATAACATTTTTCATATAAAATAATAATAGAAACGTAATACTCACACGTACACAATAACAGTAACGACAAATATAAGTTCGATTCAATACATATATCGACGACATAAAAAACGGGTCAAAGGCATATTATTATTATTATTATTATAAAACTTTAACATCCATGCATAAATGAATAACCACAGTTATTACTTATTAGTCTATATTAATTTAAGTATGTTAGTATAAATTATAGTGTGTTAAAATAAAATGATACTATTTAGTATTCACAGTTTTTGGATTAATTGTATTCTATACTTTATATTATTGTACGTGAATGTGACTGTCGATAGTACTGTAAACAGCGGAGTCTTAATATCAAAGTAAGTCCCGCTCAATTTAATCATTGATCACGTTTATTATAATATAGTGTCATCGATGTCATATTAATTCCTTAAAACTTTTCTACTTATAAATGGAGCATTTGTGAATTTTAAACTTAATAACAAAACTTAAGTCTTAAAGGTATGTAAAAGTAGAGGAGTTTTAAAAAAATGATCCATAACCCTTAAGTTCTAAGCCCATGACATTAACTATTTATTTTACTTCAAAATAACATTCATGTTTTAACATACGCTGTCGGTTTTATTTTATATTCTACTAATTTTGAATGTATATTTATCAGTTTTTTAGTACGTTCAATTCATTATTCTGATCGTATTCGTATTTTTTCTCTTTTTAAAACCGAACGGCAGCGCAGTGTCCTACCTATTTATACAACTCAAATCCGTCGTGTTAGTGAGTATAAAACATTGTATTATACGACCAAATGTACTGTAATTCTATTTAATTATGTCGTAAACATTATATTTTATGTATATTATACATTTATACCTACGACTTACATAAGTGTGTATCATAATTTATAGCCCAGTTAAAAACAACTTGTACGTTAGAAAATCAACCGATTAAGTACGTGTGCTTTTGGTGGTATTAAGAGTTAGTATCTATCTAATGTTTTTGTCAAATAGTTTATTGGTAGCAATCGTTTAAGGAAGACGTAAGCTCTGAGTTATAAGCATGTAAAATAGTAATAATCACGGATTAATGCTTACTACTCGCTTTAAAGTAAAAATATTAAAAATCCGATGGGAGAAGTGAAAACACACAGATAATATTCTATTCTTACTTTTAAATTAGATGCGACGTGTCGATTTACTGTAGGTTATATTTAAACTAAAAACACGAAATGGTTTTCGCTGAACGCATATTATCATTTGTTATGTTGCGTATACATTCACACGTTTATAAAACGGAAACAATTCGTATGTGTCCATCACGTTCTCTAATGACCTCCTCAAACTTTTAAGTCTAGTCGGGTGAATGCCGAGTGGACGATGAGTGATGTGTGGAAAAATGTAGGTAGGTATTACATATTGTATCATACAAACATCTACCTTTCCACTTAATCGCGCATTGCGTTACCCACGCTTCGGGTTTTCAAACCTCAAATTATTAATTATGTACCACATTAAATGACATTTATTTGAAATTGGATTTTCGTGTATTAAACTGAACACGGTTTTAGGATTTAGTTTTAAAATATAGAGGCGATTGTAATCCGCGATTGGGTGAAATATTGTTTTTATATATGATCAATAAACCGTACAGTAGGTATATAATGTATAAAAATACAATTCTACACAAGCACACAATATATTAAATATATGTTAGCTCAATAATTGAAGCGCTCAGCCGAACAACGGGACAAGCGCCAATTTCGGCAATGTTGCGTTTTTCAGTGGAATATCGTGACACGGGTACAATTTAATGATATCAATCGTGTTGAAATGTTATTATTTCCTATTACACTGGCTAAATGGCTTAATAATTTAGGTTTAGCGTTGTGAATGTTTTGATTCGTGGAACATCGTGACACGTGACGATTCTATCATGTATTCTTACGATACCTATCTCATTATAATCTTATTGTTACGCCGTGCATCGCGTCAATAATATTATAAATATATCGTGATAGTGGTTTTTTTTTTTCGTTTACCTAGAGAGTAGTGAGTAGTGACTAGTGGAAATGTCTGTTAAACTTTCTCAAAGTGACGAAAAACTACTTAATAAAACTCGTAAACGGTCCATTAATATATACTTATATATATGCAGAACGGAGTTCAAACGAGAAAAAAAAATTACGCGATTCTGGTAAATCATAAACATCAAAACGAAGTGCCATTGTTTCTGAGAAAACTCCACCAACTGAGATAGGTATAATTAAGAATGTTATGTAAAATAATAATTAAAACGTATGGTATTTGTTAGTAGGGCATACGTAATAGTAGTGAATTTTTTTTAGTAAATAATAACAATATTATTGTAATTTTACGCGAATATTACGTTTGCAGACACGACTGCACGAGTATGTAATGTAGAAACTTGTTCTAAACGCGGTTGTACCGATTTAAGTCTTCAAACAAAAATCAGATTTTTTCAAAACTACCATAATCTTACTTATGATGAACAGTCATCCCTACTTAAGTCACAAATGACACATAGCACTTTCAGAAGTTGGGAGACGTAGGGGCGGGAAGAACGATGCGATTTCACGTCGCACTTGTACTAATAAATATTCTATTGATAATTTCGTAATATGTCATCTAACGTTTATGGATTCATTTCAAATTACTAAGCGTCGCGTCAAAACATATTTTGAAATAGTTTGAAGTCAGATGAAAATTTATGATTATGATGTATAATTGGTATTATAATTTTATATTATTCCTTATTATTTATTATTTTTTTTTGAAAATCTTAACAACATACAAAACCCCAAATTAAAATATAAAATTAATTTTTATAAATTATGATGGATGAAATAAAATAAATTTCTTTAGAATATCTTATATCTTAAAAATTATATTTTTTAATCTTAGTAAATATCAAATGTGACTTTCCCGTAACCCAACTAAACATATACTTAATTAATACACAATTTTAAACGTATACGTATATACCATATATGTTATACTTGCTCTTAACATAATGTGTTCATTATTGGTATTAAGTAATATGTTATGTTATGAAATGTCATTTTTACTAATATTTCTAAGCTACTATAGATTTTATTTTCCCGAAAGATTTCTAAAATGTCATGTGACGTGATAAAGGTTAAAATAAGATAATTGATGTTTTCCATTGAAATCATTTTGTATCATATATTTAAACAAAAATAAGTAAACGTCAAAATATATAATTATAGATATTATAACAAAATAAAATAAAATTCTGCTAAAATAAATAAATGAGTAATATATGTGTAAATATATATGTCTATGAGATTCGAATAATGATATAAAATAACAGTTATAATTTATTATATACTGATTTTTGGTCGCGATTGTATAATATTTTAGCGTCGTCACAGTGACATATAATATCTACAGCTTATAAACGGCGATCGGAGCGGGAAAGTCAAAATCATTCCCAATTGTTGGAGGACGAGTCGGCGCTACAGTTGATCTTTTGCGTGGCCACGTCGCCGTACGCTATGGTGAACACGCTTTTCTTCTCCAACATTTGCATGGACCTGCACGGTGCCCTGTAGCCGTGCGGCGGCAACGACGTAGACAACCGTCGTCGGGCCAAGGCCCGGGACCTGAGTGATGGCGTCATGTACTGCAACTGCCTGTCCAGGTCAAGTTCCCGAATACTGGAATAGGACCGGGACTTGCGCTTTTCCGCGTCCGCCACGTCCGCAGACAACGCAGACGACGCCGAAGACGTGGCGAACAGTCGCCGCCGCGCCGGCCCCGTTCCCGCTCCCGCACCAGACCCTCCAGCCACCGATCCCGATCCACCTGCTACCGATCCCGACCCGGCTCCGCGTCCGGCCAACGATGACCGCAAGCCGCTGCTGGCGCCCGAACTGCTGCCATCCCTCTATGATCGGACTGTCTGAATACCACTTTCGCGAGGCATGCTGGATGACGATGCGGCAGCGGAACTCAGAACACTCACGTTCGTCGTAACTCCATCTGCGGTTACCACCGCTGACCCGCAAACACGATCTAGTCGTCTGTGTTCCCGCGTGCATCTCCGTCTGCGTGGCCATATTAGCTCCCGGCAAACTCCTCGTCTCCAGTTTTGTCATTAACTTTTGTTGTTCCTCCGCCAAAAACCTGCGAAAAGTATGTCACAACGAACATTTCAACACTCAAATACGCAGTGCAGGGTTTAAATCACGGGAGGATGGGAACCAAATCTATATACATACATGCATTAATCGTATATACATAATATATATATTTCAGCGTTTGTTAAAAATGATGACGAATTAAAAAACGAAAACATTTCAACTAGAGACATCTAGAATTGATACGTGTGCTATACATTAGATCAAATCACGAGAAGTAGGAATAAAACCGAATCCACATGACTACCTATCTAGAATAAACAAACGCAGATGATTTCTTTAGATTTAATTTTTTTCTGGAACATTATATAATGTAGTTGTTAATAATTTATTCCCTTTTACAGTTAGAAAATTTAAGACATCTGCAACCTGAGTTTTTTCTAAACACAACCTCAATCTCGAGACTCCGGTGCATTGCACTCTCTACTGCACCTCTGCTAAAATCAACACTACTGATACGATAATATTACCATGCAAAATAAATTATTATCCTCACTTGGTTAATAACACGTCCCTTTGAAATGCAGTCATTTTCTTTTGTTCTTCTTCAATATCTTCTTTTTTTACTTCTTCGAGTTGCGTTTTCTCTACATTTCCTTTGACGATTTCATTATGTTGATCTTTAACCTCGATCTCGTCCGGCTGACTATTCAAAAACTTGTTCATAATTACTTTTTTACCGGCTAATTCGTCAAACGCATTAAATCCGCCCATATTGGATGCTGAGTCCATTACTTCCAAAGAATCATTAGACATTATACGTAAAATTTCTGCGTTGCCTTGTTTGAAAAACATTTCTTGTCTCTGGTCGGTTGTCTCGTCGGACCAAGACCTCCGTTTGTCTATGATCCTATATTCGTTGCCTTCAACGTCCTCTAAGAGCAATGACTCTGCGCTCGCTTTTTTCCTAATCATATTTGGTATCACCATTGTCCTTGTTCTTTTTGCTATTCGGATAGGAGTTACCGGTTTTTCGCTCAAAATATACACCTTATGTTGAGGATCGTTTTCGGCCGATTTACTATAACTCGGAGAAGGCGCTTGGATACCTTTGTTTTTTATACAGTCGACGTGGTGTAACTTACTGAAAAATTATATTTTACTATAATTATATGACATACAATAAAACGAAAATATTTCAGCTAACTAACTTTACCATTTCGTCACGTTCAAACGACCTATGGAGTATACGTGAATAATGATCATAACTTAATACTTATGATGCACTACTTATAGGTGTTGTTATAACGTTATATGTAGTTATGTCATTCGTTATTAGTCGTGATAAACTTAAAAACATCAAATATGATTTATAACAACCATTATTCAACGATAATCGCTATCGATTTGTTTCATTTGGAAACTTAGTTTTAAAATGAACACCTGGGAAATCTCATAATCGTATATTATGTAATTTTTTTTTTACCATCAATTTACTATATACTGCAACAGTATGAAACACTTGGTGCAAATACGTAGGGACTATAAGAAATATCAAAATAAGTAAGTTAAAATAAATAATTTCAACTATATAAATTTTAAATAATCGACTAATAAAAATATTCCGTTCACTAATGATCTGTACTCTGTATACATACTAATATACTTTAAATATTATGTATTTTATGTTTTATAGTATTTTTTTATACTATATACTCATCTGCATAATAGTCAATTTTTTATTTTTATTTTTATATAAAATGTATGATAGTTTTAAATTTAAAATGTTTGTTTGAGTTACTTAATTTATACTATATAATTGCATTAAAAATATTTATTTCCGTTTTTGTTCAAATAATATTTATTTAAACTAAAATCATACGCCTTAAATAATTGTTATGTTCAAAACATAATTCAATATTAAACACTAAAGGTTAGGTTAAGTTTTGTTCTTATTGTCATATACATTACTATCAAAATAAAATATTATCCTATTATAAATTTATCCGATTTTAAATTTTAATCAAATAAGTACTAGATTAGGCTGTATTATATATTGATAGGTTTATATTTTTTCGTTAATACCAAAAAATACTACAAATTTGCAATTTTATTATTTTATAATTTAATATTATTTATTTTTAAAATCTTTTATCATGTCTACTATTTTCGTATAATGTATACTTAAATAAAATAGTATCTATCGATATATCTATAATATATATTTAATATTTTCCACTTTTCTAATAACTGACTATTGAAAATGAATTATGTTTAATACTCACTTGTGAATAAATCGAAGATATTGTTGATAACAACAACAAAACAACAATGATAAGGCCGCCAACAATATGGCTAACAATAATAATAAATTCAACCAGAAAGACAGATTTTTATCGTTGCGGTAATCTACCTGAAATTAAACATTTTCTAAGTTTAATTACTTAATTAATAATAATAATAATAAAACATTTGGTAACGATATTTTTTTGTTGTTTGTGATAGACATCTAGAACAGTTAATCTAATGGCTAAGATACTAGTCAAATTAATATTTATTGTCCATTTTAAACACAAATCAGTAATTTATTCATATGATTAACTGTATAATACTCGTAGAAGCATTAGGCGTAAAATACTTTAGCAGTCATAACAAATATCCTTGTTCTTCAGTCCAGTTAATGAAACAGAAGCCCACCCAACAAAAAACCTATGAATACTTAATTTATGTACATTTTTTTTTTTCTAAAAATAGTAACCAATTATTACTTATTTTTAATCTTATACATTAGTCAACTTTTAATTATTAGAGTAATAGAGTATTAAGTTAAGATCTTTTTGTAAAATTAATTGTCCCCATATAATTTTAGTTAATAATCTTACCAATCTTTAATACTATAATTTAATTATTCTTAACGAGTTAGAAAGTAACAGTTCACGTCATTAAATTACACTACTACACAGTACACGCACTACAGCAGACTTCTATTTTAACAAAAAAAAAAAAAAAAATAAAAAAAAAATACTACAAGTATGTTTAATTTTTATAGATCGAAATCAAAAAATGTATGCTGAATACACTACTGTTTGATGACTCGTTTATCATAAAAAATGGATATTTATTAATTTTAGTTTCAAATAAAGATTTAAAAAATTTGTTAGATTATTTTAATTACCTACCTATGTTTAGTTTATACATATGGACTATGACATAGTTCACAAAAACTAATTTATAGTGAAATAAATTATTAAAACAAAACACAAATTATACAGTATATATAGATCATGGACTATTTAAAAATAATTAACGTTACTCAATTATGAGTCTTAATAGACTGGTTATTTTTTTTTTATTTGATTTGTTGTTAGGAAATTTTGAACTTATTTTTTTAATCGATATAGTTTATTTAACTTTTTTAAATACAGAACAATGCAGAGACCCATTTTATTACAATACAATTGCATACTCTATCGAATTATAATTTTAATAATAATTATATTACTTGGGCCATTTGTACTTCATTGCTACATTGAACTAAGTGTTTGCGGAATTCATCGACGTCGATTACAGTATTCGTATTGTATGCAACGGTGGCGGTCACAATATTTCTGAACACATACAATAAAAATACGATATAACCTCGTTAGATTGATTGTTAGTTTAAAGACAGAAATACTATTATGAGGCGCACATATATTATATATTACATACTTGTCTGCATTGGCAGTTGGTCGTTGGGCGTGTTCATAGTTGGGCTTTATCGAATTAATGGTCACTTTACCGCCCGTCAGGCGTTCTAACAAATTGTGCATGGCCGCAAAATCCATCGAAGCAGGGATAAGAAACGTCATTTGTCTAGCACCAGACGACGGTGGATAAATTCTCACTTGTGTCGTAGACCACCGATGGGGGACGCCTGTAATATAGAACAAAATGCATTATAAATAACTAGGTGATTAGGATTGGCATAAGTTTTGTCGCGAAAAACTTGCTGTCAGATCCGAACAATTATAGTCTCACCTAAATCATAAGCCCTGACTGTGAGTACATTGAACGCGCTGTTTGCCGAGTCTCTTCTAGTTCGACTTGTATCGTACAAATCGCTGGATATGAACAGTTCACCTGAAACGTTTTAGAGTGAGTTATAAAAAAAATAAATATCAAGCTTGATTAATTGCCAGAGAAAGGATAAAATTTTAGTTTGGGAGTTTTAGGTGGTCACTATTATACTATAGAATAATATACCAGCACGACACGACAATATGTACGCCGCTCGGACACAAAAGAGTCGTAAATTGTGAGTATATCACACACATACACACATAATCACAAAAATAATAATAAGATAATATTTCATCGAAAAACATAATATAACGTCTACGCGCTCGCCTGCTTGTACGAGTCGTGCATGTGTATATCTATGAGCCTTACCGGTTTCTGGATTCAGGGTGAAGCGATTGTTGTAGTTGCCGTTTATTATCTCGTAACGCACTACGTTGTTCGGGGCTTCTGCGTCTTTGTCAATAGCCTAAGAACAAGAGAAGAACAAAAGTATTAATAAATTAATATTACGAGACGTGTCTTATAGTATGGTATTTAGGTTGTAGAATATGAAATAAAATAAGATGGAGTAATTAAAATTATATTATACGTAGTACAATTTTTCGAGATTTTAATTGTAAAACTAGCTTTATGTATGGGCGGTATAGTTATTAATTTTTATTGTGATGGTTTTTATGCTGTGCTATTATAGTCATCATATGATTAAATATAATGCACAATTTAATTTAATATAATTGTGTATTTGATTATAATATTATACAAAATATTGTAATATATATGAATAGTCATTAGAGATATGAAAAGCCGTTAACCTTGATAAAAGCTCGTTCTGTGAAGTTACGCATATCTTGTGTCAAAACAAATTGGATCGGTGTATCCTGGAAAACTGGCGTTTCATCGTTTATGTCCAATACGTGTATATTGAGCGGCACGGTTGTAGCCAAACCACTTCCATCCATGTCACGAGCTTCCACAGTTAATCTGTACTCTATAATTAAAGAGTTAGTTTTTCGGTAAGTGTACGCTGTAGTTGTTCAACTATTTGTAGTACTAAAACTAAAATTGTAAACTGTCTTACAATACGATAATGATATATCTACTATGAATAATAAACAATACATAAGACGAGTTTTTGAGTAGTTATTCTGAATTTCTGAAGTCAGAGTAGTATAATTTAAAAATGATTTTACAATTTTGTAAGTTAAAACCAATAACACATTTAAATACATGGATGATAAAAAAATATTTTAAAATTAATGTAAAATCTACCCTCTTAACTATAATATTTTGGCTATTTTTATGCAAGCTATACACAAAGACATTTGAAATTTTCATTTTTTTATACCTATAGTTTTTTTTTTAAATTTATTTATAACAACTTCGTATATTAAAAGTAAAAACGCTTAAAAATGCAATAAAATGTTTTACATGTGTTAACGGCAATTAAAAAATAAGAAAAATACGTAGTCACAATTTTTTTTTATAAGTGTTTGAATTTCAAATTTCGTTGTATTTCGTCAAAATCGTGGAAATTTATGAATTATTTTTAACTAAAAACGTACAAAATTTTGATTTTAATTTAGGTTTAAAATTTTTTTACAAGATTTTGCGTGAGCTTTATTTACAAGAATTTAAAACTCTAATTAAACCCTAAACTTTTATATAATTTCACGGATTTATTTATAAAAAAAAATAAAAATAAAATTTATTTCATCTAAAATTATTATTTTATTTAGTTATAGAACAGTTAAGCAGTACCTATTTCAAACAAAGCATTTCGAAACGTTATCTTATTCTCATTTTAAATATGAAAATATAAATTAAAGTTCTTAAATTGTATTTATCATGCATATTCGCATAAGTCATGACTGCTCATGAGTATTTGAACGTGTATACCTACTCATTTTTATATTATTGTATTGTATTGTACACTTAATTACTTAAATATCGTGTACTGTCGAGCTCATTACGACGGGTGTTCAGACAAACAAATAAATCGTTCGTTATCGCGTCATCGGCGCATTATCATTCGCCATAGGGCACGTTTTGACCGAATACATTACACATGTTGTTGCAGCTGCTTACCCGCGGATTCTTCTCGGTCGAACCCGTGATTGTCGTTAGACACTACGATAACGCCAGTGATCGGATCGAGCACCAACGACGAGTTCTTGAAACCCAACACGGCCGTGTACCGGATGCTGCCAAACGGTCCTGTGTCCGGATCCACGGCCTCGACGGTAGTCACGCGGACACCGGCCGTGGCGTTCTCGGGCAGTTGGACGTCGTATGCAGCACCGGTGAATCGCGGGACGTTGTCGTTGACGTCGTCCAAGTACACAACCACAGACGCCTTGGCTGAAGTCCGAGTGCGGTTCGTGTGATCGCCGTGCACGGACAGCTCGGACGCCAACACCTGTAACCCATCGAAATCACGCGGACGTTAGTTATTGCGATTGATAACCGTCGTCGTTTTCGCGATGAGCCGTTTGGAATTCGGATTTCATCGGAATACGCACATCATAAGGGGGTTTGTAACCGGACACAGTTCCTATACTTTTAGTTTTCTTAAAAATAGTTGAACCTATATGAACACTTCACCACGTCGACAGTGCCGAGTGTGCAGATTATATATAAATTTTAAATTAGATATTTTTCAATGACAAAAATTTAACCTAAAACTATAAAATTCTTGTTGTACTCTTGGCATAGATGTAATGTACGCTAAACACGACTATACTTAACCTCAAAACGGACCGACCGGGTACTTTCGAAGTCCAGCAGATGATTGTTGCGCACCATAAAAGTGAACCGGCCACGACTGTCAATCACGGCGGGCGTCACTTCAAAAGTTCCGTTATTATTTTCCAAAGTCAACGCGTATACAGACTCCTTGCCCTATATTTACATACATATAAAAGAGTATGTTATAGAGATAAAAATCAATACAATAATAACACTCGAATACTAAATCTACAAACGCTTGCTAAGGATGAGCAAAATATAGATCACGATATAACAATTTTGTTTTTGAGTTAACTATTATTTAAGTATTATACATTTAAAAAAAAAAAGTAGAACTTTGATAAAGACTCTAGTGAATATAGAAATTTGTTTTATAGTAAGTACTACGTATAGTCTCTAGAAGTTTAAACTTTAAAACAATCATTTTTGGTTTGCATATTTTGTATGTTCAGCTCTTTTTTCCTTTGAAGTGGATATTTTGTTATATTTGTATTTTAAATATATATTTCATATATTTTTTAAAAAAAAATAATTTAAAACAATATGTCATATAAAGAATAATATTTTATACGTACTAACAATATTTAATATTCATTTTCTAGAAATTGAAAAAAATAGATTAAAATGATTAATTATAAATAATTAAATAATCTATCTACTGTGTGTTTTCTCGATCATTTGTGTGTTGTGAAAAACATGAAGTCCGGCCGATATCTTTATCCTATACGCCGAATACAGTCAGTTGATGTCAATTCGTCTGTTAGTATCGTATATGTTTTCGTCTGGCATTAATATAATTAGTATATAGTAATACTCTAGACTAGGTACAGTTTTTGTACTGTGAAACTTAAATTAAAAATTTCTTATTTAAGTAATAAATAAATTTGTAATTTTTGGTTTTTAATGAAAAATAAAATATTATTAAAATTTAAAAACTTATTTTAACATTTTTGCATATTTTTAAAGGCATAAATGCATGCATATTTCAAGGGTTTTTTAGAACATGAAGTCACTAGCCCTATTCATCACTAAACAGCCCGCGATTGTAAATACGTACGTATATGCTACATATACATACCGTACTGTCATCGTGCACTTGCAACACATAGCCTTCTGTGAACGCCAATGTCGTTCCCTGACCGCTATTCTCGTTCAAGCGACAAGCGTAACTGTATACGCAACATAATATCGTTTATATTTTTTTTATATTAATTTGTTTTAAGTAATAGATATACATATATAATGGGGCTGAATATGCAGGACTTCAGGATATGCGATTATATATGGATATTATATAGTATTTCGAATTTGTTTTATACATGTTATATCATCGTTATTGTCCACGTAAATAATTTTTTTATGAATTTAATATTTTTTAAATATTATTTTAAAACATTTTTATTTTATAAGACATTCATAGTTATCAAAATTTGAAGTGCATAACATTTTTGTTCGCCTGGACTCAAAACACAAAAATAATAAAATTGTTCGCCTATTATAATAATATAGGATTTACATGAAGTTTCAAACTATGTATTTAAAATTATTAAATTACTAAATTCTATCAATGTTCAAAATATAATAATGTACCTACGTTTTAAAGTTTAGATATGCGACGGCTAAATGAGAATACCCAGGAAGAGTACAATTTTTTACGAGGACAATACGATCAAACACTATCTATGATTGTATAAACATAAGCAATATGTGTACTTTGCATTGTGGAAGTACGGTGGACGATCGACCTTGTCTTCAAGCATAATCACTATGTCGGCCAGGGTGGACATGGCTGCAGGCTCTCCGATCTCAGTCACTTCTTCATCGGCTATCACGGTCAATATGGCTGGCTGTTTCCCACCGCTTATTTTAGTCAGCTCTGACATAGATCTCTTCAATTTTACCTCGCCTACAACAAAATAAAATGTATTTCTATACCAAACAATGTCCAACAAATGGTTATCAACCTGTGAATAGACCTATTTCGAACAACACGGTGAAAGGCCTATTTTCCGACACCAAACCGTATTTAATTCGCCGAGGTCGACCCCTATCGCCGTCGATTGCCTCTACTTTTGTCACAACGTCTCCCTGTTAAATCATAAAATAAAATAGACGTAGTTCACATTTTGTTCAATTAGCGGTGGCTTTGACACTGTTAATGAAACTTCTGATATAGAATCTCTGATCAAGGGTTGATATCTCTAATGTAAGTTTTGTGTTAGGCTCTTATGTTTTCAATTTTTATATAATTTCTTTGTACTAAAGTACCAAATTCTAAAAAGTGTAGTTACACGGTTGAAAAACTTAATAACTTAAACATTATTTTTATAAAATTTGAGTTTTTAAATTAATAATATTATATGTCATTGAGCAATGGAACAAACATTAAAAACAAATCCATACATTTGCTCACTTCGACAAATACAAAATAATTTTTAAATTTATACAAAGCCCGACTTCATTGTCCTCGTTCATTTTATAGTGCTTAACAATAAACAAAAATTACTTTCACAACTCGATTAAAAAAATTAATTGTTTTATACACTGATGTCTTTGACGCATTTGCATTCACCTCTTATTCTCAAACACGCTAGTCATTTTTGTGATTCCTAGTCATTCTTCATCCATTGTATATTGACCAACTTATAATCATTACGCGCTATTCTCACTTTGATTTTTTACACGGGTTTTTTTCTTATGTTCTACCTTGATTAAATAAATTTTACTGATAACAAACTACAAAGTATAGTAGGTACCTCTATTTAAACAAAAATGTTTTTACTTTTTATTTAATTTCTATATAATATGTGTTACGAATATTTTAAGATTTATTAAAATGGTATTTTCACTTAATTTCATATTTATATATATATGAGTAGCGAGTAAAAATTTAAACAACGACCAAATAAACAACTTAACTAATGAAATAATTGATAACCATCGCAATAATTAAAAGCTGCAACGATTTTGTTTCGTATCATTGTACACGCGATCAAAGTTCCATAGAATAAATCAATATTTGTAATTTTATTAAAGCTATTTTAACGTTCCAATGTGCAGTATTCGGTCATTATTTTTCATTATGCTCATAGAAAACTTCCATAAGAATCTACCGGCTTATTCCTTACGAGAACGCCACATAAATGTACAAAAATGGTCTTCGTATGTAACACAGTAAATGTACAGTACATGTTTTATTAGTTTTAATAATATTATTATGCTATAATATTATTATAGCATACCTATATAGGTGAATACGAAAATACGTATATTATCAAACGTAAAAGTTACAGGTAATTGGGGGATTATTTTTATACATATTTATTCAGTGTTTTAATTTTGAAGCGATTTATGGACATTTTTAAATCTTAAATATTTGTGATTATAATAATGCTAATACGAAAAAACCCTTTCAACAAAAACAGACGAAGACTAAAATAAAGTCACGTGTGGGGATTCTTCTTGTGAACTAACTATAATCTTGTTTAGTCTGAAGAGAATTACGATAATAAATTCATTACGCGCCTCTAGACACTTTATGGCATTATATCCAATCCTTCTCCGCATATTTACCTGGATATTCTCTTGGTGCATTAACATGTTAATGGGTATTTGTTTAAAATGTACGCACACATTACACATATATAGACTATATAATATAGTGCATAATATCGAAATCAAAGTCGATTTCTTCTCGATACCATTATTATTATTAAATATTTTATGATTGCTATTACTTTTATCATCATTATTTTATTATTGTTACTATTCGTTGTGGTTAATATACAATATAATATTATGTGTGTATTTTTGCGCGTGTGTGTATAAACGAATGGTAGTGGCCTCACAATGGACATGTTGTTATGCAGATGCACTATTGTTTCGAGTCGGGTGAATATCGGCGGCGTGTCTTGCACGTCTTCCACGACCACGATGACCTCGAACGCCGCCGCGTTTCTGGAATCTTTGCCGATCTCCACGTACATGTCCAACGCGACCACTTGCAATCGGTACATGTTCCTGGTCTCGAAGTCCAACGGCCGGGACACCGATATCGTACCGGTGGTCGTGTCCTTGTTCATACGCAACCGACCTATGGTCAATTCCGAAGATCCCTAAAACACACGTTTCAGCATATAACATGTAACGCGCGTGAGAAAAGCTTATTTTTTTTTTACATTGTGGTTTATTTATTTGTACAGAGAAAATGATGAAAAAAAAAAATATTAAAAAATGCACGGTAATAGTAGTATAAAACAAAATATTATATAAAAGTATAACTGTACAAATCGGTAAAAAAATGAGTATAAATAAATATTATCAAAAACCCTGACTCGCATATGCTCTCTTAATCTCTGACTCCGTGAATATAAAACTCGGTGTGTATCTTTTTAAGTGCAACAATTGAAAAAAAAAAAAAATTAAATTAAATATATTATTTAATGTCTTGGTGAATAGAACAAATCGTCGTTTCAATCAATTAACTTTTTACTATTCATACTCATTATATATGTATATATATTTTTAAGTATTGATTGAATATTTTTGTTATCATTAATATTTATATTTTTATTGGATAACATAACAGTCTTCTGATAATTTTAATTACGTTATCATTTTTAAAATTTTAAAATTCCCTCTTCACCACGAGCTTTAACTATAGAAAAGGAATATAATGGACTTTATACGAAGATATTTTTAATTTAATTTTTATTTAAATTGTACATTAATAATATGTACATTATGTTTTAAGCTGGATAAGCTTTTATTATAAAAAATATTTTAAAGCTGCCTTTAATTGTAGTCAGTGAATATTAGGTTTATTTATTTAGTACGCCAATACGAATATAATATCAAAAAAATTACGTTATATAAAATACATTTTAACTATGTATCTACAGATTTCGCTCATCATGACTTCCCTTCAAAAATTAAGATAAAATTTTACTGTCAACATGTCATCAATATAATAGTTATAGCTATTACTGCATTAAGCTATAGTATATGCAGTTATTGAAAATAACGTTTTTTCGAAAGCCACGATGTCAAAAATATAAACGCGGTAAGATATATAAATAATATACAAATATTTTAAATGAATTTAACATCACTAAAATATGTAAATACGTATTTATTTAAGTTTAACTTTGCCAAGTGTTTTTAGAAAGTTGTATTATTACCATAAGTGTAATAGCTGGTAAATAGAAAAATATTTATACTCACTATAATTAAATATTATACTTAAATACTTACTTTTAAAAAACTAAGCAAGTATAGAATTACATAAGCAAATTTGAAAAGTAATTAATTGAACCCTTTGGTAAATATTTACTTTGAAAATATAATTACTGTTAACCAAATATGCATTTATTTTAATTTACTAATTTATTATGAATAATAAGTACAGTATACAACGTTATAACAGTAATTATATAAGAATAAGTGATAGGTATTAACATTTTTTACCCTTAGCTCAATACTGGCCGACTTCCGCGATTCCATATTTTTCTTGACGATCACGTATTCTAATTCAGTGTTGACTTTGACATCCTGTTAGTATGACATTGGTTTGCAAACAAAAGACAAAATAAATTCAAATAAAACATTTTTTAAAAATGTCAAAAATTAATGATAAACAAACTCATTTTACTAATTCGTACCTCGGGCACGATAATGATTGCAGGAATGTGAGGAAATATCGTTTCGACGTCACTCCGAGCTTCGGTGGCCACCAATCGAACTGGCACTGTAGTGGTATCTCCTCTAGTATCCCGCACCGTTATCCTGAATTGAAATGTCTGACCTGGAATCAGAACTCGATCCAAATACACATCTGCCTGACAACCGATCGTGGTGTTTGGGGGACACGGAAGATTTTCAATTCTTATCACATAACTGCCAAAATCTAAAATATAATTTTAAAATAATTAAACCATTAATCTATCAGTTACTTAATGACTGTAGTTGTATTAAAATGTTAGATTATAGTTTTTATCATTTCACTATACACGCAGTTTAAGATTTAGGAACAAATTAAAAGTCAATTGTAAAAAGATTTTATAAATTGTGTTTTTTAAACATTTGATAATTTATAATAGGCTTTGGGTATTACTAATAAGTAATAATTTACTATTAATTGGCAAATTTTCTATGTTTAAATTATTAAATTTTATAAATGAAAGTAGCTTGATGAACATAAAATATAATTCCTAAAATTTGGTTAGACATATAATTTCGTACATTTCGGAGGGTAAGCAAAAATTATTTGTTAAAAAGTAAAATCTTAATATTTAAAAAAAAATTATTGAAGGAAAACACCTTCAGAAAATTCTTGTAACTTCTATATATGGCAAATTAAAATTGAAGCAAGAGTTAAAACTTTTAAGGAACTAAAAGAAAAAATTTGAGCAATCAAATATACAAAGGAGAATAATTGAAGTTGTAAGCCAATGTATACAAGTTGAAAAAAGTAAAGTGTAAATAATATTGTTTAATATTATTAAATAAAATTATTTTATCGAGAAATGTTACCCGCAATTCTGCTAATTGAATGTCCAAGAAAAAAACATATTGATAAAAATTCCACCTAATATATGTTACAAATCGATAAAATGTAGAAAGTTTCAAAGACGTTTTACATGCGTCTCACTCTATATATTATGCACACTAATATTATCTGAGGAGGATGAAATAATAAATTGCGTGTGTAGAAACGTAGAGTATTGATGTACCTTCCTCCTATTTATCACACATTTCATAATGCGTAAATGATTAATAATAAAATATTTTATAATATATCGATTTTACCGGTGGCTTGGAAATACAGTGGATAATCCTTGTCGTGATCGGAAGCCCTTAATCGATAGATGAGTGACCCGACGGGTGCACCGGCTGGCACCATCAAGTTGTCCCTAAACTCAACGGCGCCTTCGAACGTTGGGTAATTACCGGCGACTGTGACGACCGCAACGGCGGCCATCGCCAGAAACGTGGTCCAGACGCTCATCTGCAGCTGCTAGAGCGTACTCGCCATGCCTCATAATCACACCTAAACACGATAAAGCATTTTTTCACAAATCACAATTAATCGTGGTTTATTTATCAAAATGTATTATCATTGGGGCGATGATGTGTTCAATATAATACACCAAATTATGTATTATTATATTTATATTACATTATTATAAACGCGCGCGGCAGCGTTCGTTTCGATATCATTCAAATAATCATGTAGGTTCCTGCAGTATGTAACTCGAGTTATGAATTTTTTTCTTCTAAATTCAATTTTAAACTGTAATTATAATAAATTATAATACAATTATTATAATTCCGTGTGTGGGCACATTTAGTTTTAACCGTCTTCTCACGTTTATTATTATGTATACACGATATACATATGTACCTAGTCATAATACAGGTACAGAGATCGCCCCGACTTGATATCAGATAACTCTTGATCTTTAAACCTGCAGAATATTTTACTATATTATAATTGAATGAAATGAATAATATTACGAGTACACATAACCGACGAGTTTTAGCAAAGTTCTTACAGTATCCATTCATTGAACGCGCCCACGAAATAGATACTCATGCAGTGTTGTGTATATACGTATTATAAACTCTATAGTCGAGCCTCGATTTTGCGGTTATATTATTATTATTATTATATTATATTTTTATTCTCGGGTCGTTTATAACCGTCGATTTCTTAATGAGTGTGGGTGTGGGTGTGTGTTTGTGTGCGTATGTGCATGCGTGTGTGGAAACACTCTCGGTTCGATAAATGCAAATGTGACAGTCTAATACGAACGGACGGTGGAGGTAAACGAGGTCACGGAATAGCCGGAGCCTTTGACCCGTGTCCATTCAGTAATAAAACGAATAAAACGAAAATCCAATTTCACGTGACTACCGGTCGTTAGCCCTTCGGCGCTCTTTTAAAACACTAAATATAAGAAGGTCTGAGACGGATTTTCGGTTTTTTTTTTTTTGTTTTATGCGCATATTTACATATATAACTTAATAATATTTTTACACGTTAAGTAGTCAAGTATACAAATTTGCTCAATAAAACACCGTTACCACTTCGCTGTTATAAATAAATATTTCCGTCTATGTATTTGTGAGGCTATTCATTTATTTTCTTATAACTTGCGATTTTTATTTTACTTTCAATGCTACCGAAAAAATCGTGCTAAACGCAATTTTCTAGACAGTGTCAGTCAACTGACACGGCGAGGAAAAAGGGTAGTTAAATATGTATTGTACTATATTATAGTGGTCAGTTACCTTACAGACGGGTCCGGCAAAAATGCATTGCGTTCTTGGCGATTTGACCCGAAAATGTTATTAGGTATGTTACGACCGATGTTATGTGAACATGACGTTATGTACGCACGTACCTCCTACTTGCGAATACGCGTACAAAATTAAATTAGCATACTCATTAGAGCTCAAGTAAAAACAAATCGATAAAATTCAATTTTTATTTTATTTTTTAACGTTACAATATTAAAATACAGTTTTTATTTTTTATACTTACACACATTCCGAATTCCTACGTTATATTAGCTTATGGAATTTTGGAATGATCGTATATAGCTAAAAAATAATATTAAACCATAATTCCAAATTCTAGAAATCACCACAAATTATTGTTATACAATTTACACAATTTATACTTAAACTGTAAATGCTTTTTCTATTTTATTTCATGCGTAATTTAATGAACAGATTTAATTATTGTAGTATTTGTACTTTTGATGAATTATCGTATAAAAAATATAATACATTAAATATACACTTTTACGTGTTTTAATTACTTTAAAATCGTAATATTTAATGATTCTCTGTACAAATTACATTTCAAATCAAGTTCGCCAACTATCGGTGAGATAATAGGTATAAATAGCATTATATTATCAAAAAATATCAACATTTTTTTTTTTGATATGTTTCTAACATATTTCAATAAGGTTTTCGTGAAATGTTTATTAAATTTTGGAAATAACAATTCACATAACTAATTTTTAGAGTTAAAAATAATATGTACTTTAATTTTAGGTTACTATTTGAATTGCGTTTAAGCACTAACAACTTTGTCGAAGAATTACATTTTATTATCAGTCACTCTTAATAATGTAAACTCCTTAGATATTCCATTTGAATGATATTTTACAATTTTATAATTACCATGATCAAAATATAATTAATTGCTAACGAAACTATAATAAGAACTTATTATAAAAACAATCTCATAATAATGAAAACAAATGATAAAAATATGAATAACACTTATACAAATCACATTTTTAATCTAATTTTATCTTACGATTCATTTGCACGCAGACTGCTGATGAAGTCAGACCTATCTAACAGTGAGTAATATTCTTATTTTATATTTTATATACTGCCTATAGTAAACATAGTTTTTAAAATATACATTAAGAGCAAATAAATACTTGTAAAATAAACAAAACGTAAAGCTAGCGATAATCGTATTATATTTTATGTAAAGAAGGTACCCCATGTTTTAGTATACTACGAAATACGAATGATGTATGTGTATGTGTACCTATTTCATAAATTATTATTATGTAAATTATTAAATTGTCTAAGATAAACTTATCAACTGATGTCTATACTGATGTAATTAATAAGTATATCGTGCATCTTAAATTCGATATTATATGATTCTATAATTATTTAGATTCATAAGATATGATTACCTACAAACATTATTTACTTTTTTATAAAATATATCTTTAACCTCTGATCACCGATAATGTATCTATATTAAAACTTTACAAAAATGAAAATAAGATTTTGATAAAAAATAACACCAAACTCTAGTCATCTAGCCAATTAGTCAAAACATATTTAAATTTTCAAAATATGTTCGCTATTTATACTTGTTACGTAATAATATTCATAAACTGTTCGATACAGTTTTTAAAATAAAATATAGTATATGAATAAAGAGTTAAAATACTATGGATTTACGCAATTATATTACAAAAAAATCGTGATCTTCGATTAGGTACTGTCACAATTATGAAAATAAAATATTATCACATATTAGCCTAATAACGCGCACTATAGTCAACTCAAAATTCATAGCTACGCATATAATTATGGTATACAAATTACAGTCAACTAAAAAAACATAAATCGACACCAAAACTAGAAGAGAGTAACCACGAAATAAAGTGAAATTCGTGCTATGATATAATAATAACTACTTACTAAACTTTGGGTGATAATGATTTTTATCGAAGAAAAAAAAGTACAACGCGAAGCAAGTCTGGTGTTAAAAGTTTAACTTTAAATAAACTTACTGTATACGCATGGTTTGAAAATGAACACCTGGCATTTGACGTGGCGGTAAAATGATTTAAAAATAAATTAATCAAAGGCCAAATAACATTTTATTACTGTTTTAAGAAAAATGACTATCTTATTACTGTTTTACTTTTTGTGTTAATTACATGAATGGATACATAACTGACCTGTGCGACAACAATATTATATGGTATTATTGTTCCCGAGGATTCGACGGTGCTAATATAAATGGAAAGACGTAGCCACAGCCGGTTCTGACCATTAGACGACTTGCATGCTAATTGTGTTGCCGTGGATACGCCGGACAACCAAACATTGCGACGTACATTCATTTGAAGAAGTCGTCCAACGACTCGCCTTTATCTCAATCCAATCTATTAAATTCCCGCGAAATGTACTTATTCTGCACGAGAAGACTTATTTATAACTTGTATTGATCTTGTTGTTCTATTAACTGATAAATAAGAATTTCGAATGTATATTCGTATACTTACCTACGTAGTACGTACAATTCGCCAATCAATCATTATTTCAAAAACATACCTATTACATAACTGCAATATTATACTAACGTGACTGTATTTAAAACTATATATTCATGATAAACGATGACCACTTTTGACTCGCGTCTCATACAAAGTCTAAAATTATAATAAAATTGATCAATGTTTTCATTATCATCATTAAAAATAAAATATTAATAACCTAGGTATACTCGACTGGTGTATTTAATTTTTTAATAATTTATGATATCAAAATATGTACGAAACTTAGGAATAATTTTAAAAGAAAAATTCAAATTTGAACACTCAAAATAATAGGTTGTTTATCATTAAATCACCAAACAAATCACTATATTATATTATAATTCAGCTGTGCATCATCAATGATTTTGAGTAATAATACTTTTTTATTAATCCAAGTTTATTCGCGGTGTTTCCAACGATATTTTTAATAGAGTATAACTAAGCATCTGGAATTGTGTTATTAATTTGAATTTGTAATTTTATTCGGATAAAATATATTCATTTTGAGAAACAATAAAAAAAATCAAATTGTTATAAGCTTTTCAATTGAGACATTTTTAATTTTTTTTTTAAGAAATTTTGATTAAAAATTATGCACTGTGTTGAAATGATTGAAAATTGAATACATAGCTCTTCATAAGTTGATGATTTTTTTTATTAAAAAATATTCGAATTACATTTCGTATAATTGTAAAATATACTCGGTCTATATACGCGTATATACAGAATGTTTTACGGTGAACTGACAATTTCAATAATTTTTGTTCTATAGAACATTTTAAACTTTTTTTTGTTTAATTGTCAATTGTCATCTGCGCTACAATTAATTTTTTTTTAACATTTTGTATGCAAAATTAAAAAATTAAAAAATTTCTATTTGATATTTAAAAAAATCAAGATAGCCATTTTGCAAATCCGATTTTTAGAAAAATGTTGGTGTTAAAAGCTTTTACTAAAGTTGAGTCATTAATTTTTTAGTTAATTTTTAAAGTCTGCTTAAATTCAAAATTATTTTTTGTTTATCAGTGTTACAGCGATTATGAATTATCCAAAAAATCTATTTGAAATAATATAAAATTGAACAAACTTCAAAAAATCGTAGAAAATAAACAGCTGGACATTTTTTATTTTTTTTCGAATGTTTTAAAAATCATATCAACTAAATGGCAATTTTGATTTTTTAAATGTCAAATAGAAAATTTTTTAATTTCTTAATTTTACATACAAAATTTAAAAAAAAAAAATCGAAAAATTAATTTAAATGTAACGCAGATGAAAATTGATAGTTAAAAAAAAAAAAAAATGTTGAAAATGTTCAATAGAACAAAATTTATTGCAATTGTCAGTTCACCGTGAAACACTCTGTATAGACCAGTGGACAGTGGTTTTCAACCTTTTTAACAATGTAGCACACTTCTACAAAATTTTTGCGGCACACCAATTCATATAATACGTGAAGCATATGTTATATATATATATATATACAAAATTAACTCCATCAATAGATTTATCGCTGCACACTTCAAAGGTACTCGCGGCAAACCAGTGTGCCACGACACACCGATTGAAAACCACTGGTATAGACTAACAGACCGTGTTTGTTCAAAATTATTTTTCGTATACGATAATATATCATTGAGTTAAAATTTAATACATCCATTACAATGGCTCACTTAACAGTTAACACTTAATGTATACAGAACGGTACCCACTTGTCCGTCTTTTATTTTTTTGTTTGTATGAATAAATTTTAAAGAAAAATGATTTGATTTTCAATTCATTGAGGTTAGTTTCTGATAATACATTTTATCTAGTTGGTATTTTAGAGAGATTAAAATTGTGAATTCTCAGTATTATTTGTTTTTAAATAATCGGAAAAAACATGAAATATGTAAAAATTCAGGAATTTTAGCGCCAATCACATTAATCTCCTGTTTATTAATTTTTTATATAGATAAATTACTACACAAATTATAATCAATATTCGGAGCTCGGCCGCTGTAAAATTGTAAGTTATAACTAAATAAAATAAATATATTACAATAATATAAAAAAAATTAAAAATATTTGTTTTAAAACGCATATTTTGGATATCAAAGTGTATACTTGATGACTTTTGAGAGTTATAAATCGTATGCCCTAAATTAATGAATAACAAACGCAAATATAAATATAAATCCGTTTCAAAAAAAGAATATTTATTATACCTACTTGAGGAGTACTTTGTCACAAAGTCTTTTAGAAAGTTTTATGCTCGTATCTATCGAAAAAGGGTTGAATATCTACTGATCAAAATTGACTCCATTCTAAGAGTAAATTATTAAACAAATATGATTTTTATTATTTTAATAATTATGATTTTTATTATTTTAATAATTATGATATTTTATTTTGAACTAATTATAGAAGTAGTTTTATATTAACTGTGTAATGAAACGTTCTGTTTAAATTATTGCCAGCGAAGAGAGCACTTGTTTTTTAGTTAGCAGGTTGGTCCTGAAAAACATTTCTCTATAACAAAAATACTACTTATCCATCCTTATTTATCAATATTTAAAATTCAGACGCTCATGACAATATGTATGATGTCTAACCTTTGTATTAAGTTTTCAAACCTAAGTTATGAATATATAAAATTGTAAGAATGTTTAAATTCAAAATAATTTCCAAATTTTCGTGATCTTGATGATTTCTTCAAAATTTTTTCCCTAAGCCACTTATATACCTAAATAATATCCAAATTCGTGCTTTAAACATTTATAAAAATATATTATAATCGAAACTACATAATATTATTATGTCAATACTCTGTAGACCTAACTATAGTAATTTAAGCACGGATGTATATAATATAATACTTATGACTATAGTCCAGTGTTGCCAGAACGTGCGTAAAGTATTTTGGAAAATTTATGATTTTGATTAATAATTGGTCATACGGTGTGTATCAGTCTCATCTTGGATCATAATATGATCTAAATTCTAAGGTTTTAACTTTAAACTATCAGTGTATCACAAATCATAATTCACAATTTAGTATTAAATATTCAACACGAGTAAATTATATTATGAGGTATATGTCTATACTCTATATTTTTTATGTGTCTATAGTATCCATCAACTAGTAAAAATATTTTTTTTTTACTTTCTAGTGATTATGAATTTATGAATTATATTATTATTTTAAATAATTTATTATTCATTGTACCTATAGTTAAATGTATTTGGAAATGTTTTTTTTATCTCTATGAACACTGAAGTTTATTAAATTCGATTGTAAATTTCAAAAGTAAGTCCACATTACTCTGCCTTAATTGATTTGTTGTCTAAGAACTCTATAGGTACCTGAATAAACTGTATTTGTCTTCTTCGCCTCGCATGTATATGATTGCACGACTGTTTGTTTACAATCATTGTATTATTATGAATTATTGTTTATTCTATACTAAACGACCTATATATTCTAAGTTGAAGATGAAAAAATTTGATCTACTCTCTTAGTCCAGTTTGTCTAATTTAATACATATAATGTTATATAGACAATGTTTCTGATACCTTTCTTATCATAATTAATAATGTAATTAAATGTTAGCGACAAATTTTCCCTCATCTAGTTGTGGCTTTAGTCTTAATGCTTTATAAATAATTATTATACTACTCACTGTTGTTATTTTGAAATTATAAATACAATATATAACTATAAAATTATATACATATACATATTTACATTAGACGTTTTATTTATTATTTTAGCTAAAATAGTTTTTAAAAAACTTGTCAAAATGCCTGCGTATTCTTTAATTGAGCTTAAATTACGACGATACTTTTACTTGGGACATGACTATTGTATATATGTCCCTCCTGCAATTCGAACTTCATTTTGGAATCCAAAACATCATGATGATGTTACTGGTGTACGGATAATTGGAAAAATTGTTAAAAAAAATAAAACTGAAGAGATTAATTCAATAGTTCCAATCATTTTAAAGGTTAGTTAACATCAAGTATAGAGTTATATTTTTAAATAATTGTTGTTATTACTATTTACTATTATTAACTATAGATTAAAAAAGAAGATAAACTTCTTGATGATCGACTTCTGATTTTTACATTAGCTGTTTGTGCTAAATTTAATTTAAAACAATGCATAAAAATGGTTACTGATGCTTATGCAGCAGTCTCAACAATATGCACGGATGGATTAAAACTATTGATGTTTGTTAAATTCTGCTCAGTAGCTAATAATATCCTTTTTGATCAAGGTAAATATTTTTGAAAATGTTAAACCCATGAGTGTAATACTTTACATTTTTTTTGTTTAGGTTTTTTAACTAGTAAGTCTAATAGTCATGGCCGTGGTTTCATCAAAGCTATGACTAGATGGTATTTAAATAGAGATCCATTACTAACTATAGAACATATAGTAAGGAATAAACGTTATTGTGGTTGGACTCACAGAGATGTGATGAAACTAATTCATCTTAAAACTGATGAACCATGTAATTCAATTTTAAATTAATTATTATGTGTAAGTATTTTAATTATTATTGATTCAAATAAATTTTAGGCCGTATTATGTATATCGTTTACACTTTGAGTGGTATTGAAAAAGTTGAAAGATTATTTGGATCTAAAATGAAAGACGTCTGTATTGAAGATAGTGATGAAATATTCGAAAATAAGCAAATGAAATTTATTTACAATTTTTTAAATCAAGTAGAAAATATAAAACAAATGGATGATTGTTCATTACGCTATGAAATCGAATTAAATAGATGGGGCCATGAACCTGAAGTTATACCACGAGAAATGCTAAGAAATCCAACTGTAACTTAAATAACCCTAGTTTAAAATTATGTAATGAGTTTTATCTTAATTTAAATTAATATTTTTTTCAGATTTTAACTTCACTTATTATGCATTTGCCCTTGAAAACCATTTTGGATAACACATTCTTTTTTGCTAAAAACAGATTATTTTGCAATTCATCATCCGATGTAGGACTTTGGGAATATATTTTACGTTTTAACAATACAAATTTATTAAAAAAATCAAAAATACATCCAATTGAACCATACATAGAATATGCAAAATATTCTAGAACAGCCTTGTAAGTAACAATTTTCTTTTATTATATAAATTAAGATATATTTAAAACAAAATAATTTCAGGAATATCTTGAAATTGCAAAATAATATTATGAAAAAGAAAGAAAATTCTGTAACTGAATTAATTGATGATAAGTTAAAAGTATTAGTTAAGTTACAAAAAACACCAGATAAAGAAGAAATAATTATTCAATCAACTGTAGACAATGAAAGTGAATCATTTAGTGAAAAAACACAAAATCAAAACCAGAATGATCAAAAATGTAGTTCAAGTTCAGAAAACACAAAAAATCAAAAACCATTAGCTGAAACATCATGTAAAGAAAATCAGAAAGAAAAACAAAACCAATCAGCTGACATTACCCATCACTTATCAATTTTAAATTTCAACAGTCAACAAAATAATGCTGGATCAACTGAAGAAACAATAGAGGATGTGAATCAGTCAAAAGATAATGATGTCAACCAAAATCAATTTAATACTTTTTTCTTAATAAAACCACTTCCAAAAATAGTAGACAAGTTAAACAAATTTCTAACTGAAGATCTTTTAAGAAAAACTTGCGAAGTATTTATTTATAAATATTTCAGTTTTAGAAATTAAAAATATTTAATTATAATGTTATTTTTTTAGATCTTAAATCCTTTCGGTGTTCGTATAATGATAGTATATGACAATCGATTGTGTATGAAGCAAAAAATGTGTGCGTGTTTACAAATGCTCAGTGTACATGAAGCTATTACATTAATTACATTGTCTTTAATTTACCCTGAAAAATTAGAAAATAAACCAACTGTATATGGTTTAAATTCAAATTCATCTACATCTAAAGAGATTGAAATTGATTATAACCAACCTTTGACTTTTGCCTATTTAGAATCCATATTGTTTAAGGTAATTTTTTTAAGTTAAACGTTTATTTTAAAATTAATCCTGCTTTATTAATTTTAAATGATTTTTCTAGAGACCTGAGAATCGTTCAAATTTGGTAGGTTCTGATCATAAAATGATTTCTCAAGTTCATCCTCATTTAGCATTAAAGTGGGCTAGAGAAAATAATAAAAAATTTGATGTTTTTGTATTTATGGGAACTAACAATATGAATTTAAGACCTCTTAAAAAAATTATAAAAGGATATCAAGAATTTTTTAAAAACCCAGTAAAGTATGTATTACTATAATTTTGAAGCATGATTTTATTAATTAATATTTATTTAATTTGTTTATCAAAATTATGCCACACTTTTATTTAAGTGGTTTGATACAGTCAATTTTAAAATAATTTTAAATTTTAAATGTGTTTAATTACACAAAATAATTTATAAATAATCTTACATCAATACCATCAATAATTACAAAATTATACAAAAAAAAATTAAAAAACAAATTTTTGTGGAAAAAAAACTGATGTGGTCTAAATCATAGATGTTTTAAGTCATTGAGTGGGTATCTTTTTAGCTGTACAACAGGTGTCCATTATACTACATCATTGAATGTTTTAAATTTGTATACATAAATAAATCATTGTATAAAATAAAAAACATAGTGAAAATAATTTAACTTATAAGTAATCAATTAATTTGAAAAGTATGAAAATTTTCAGTTTTGATTTCTCAAAAATACCTACTAAGTTCAATTTTTTAACAAAAACCTCACTTAAATTTGATGATCAAAACATTTATTTTTTTAGAAGATTTCTTCAGACACAAAAATAAAAGCACATGGTTATGAAATTAATACATTTTAAAACTGAATTGTCACTATAATTTAAAGAATAAAACTTTTACTGTAAAATATTATTTTAACTTTTTTGGTCTCATTATAGTAAAAAGATTATTCAGTTTTAAAAAATATCAAAGTAAAGGATTTAAATAAAGAATACTTTTTATAAATTTTTTTAAGTTTGATATTTTGGTTTAGATTTTACACACTTAATTTAATTTTTTTAGGTTTGTGGTGAACAATTTTTTCAATTCTTTTCAAAGATATATTTTAATAGTAATTAGTAACAAATTCTGTGTTGGCAAATATAAAAAAAAATCAAAGTTTTGTTTGGTTATTCACAAACCAATTTATAACCTTTTTACAATTTAATTGTACTTATTATAATTATAAATTAATTTAAAAACAATTTTTATTTTTTCAGAGTTATTATATTTTGTCTAAATGGAAAGCATCATGAACAAATAAACTTAGGTCGAGAAAATACGTTATTTATTATTGGCTTTGATAAAAACGTAGGTAATCTAATTAATTCCTTTATTAGAGGAGATTTTTAAAGTTGCTATTTTTTAAAATTAAAATACATCGTTGTTTTAAGTATTAAATTAATTTGGTTAATATTTTTTTATATTAACTTGTTTGTTTTAACTATTTTTTATTTTTTTTACTTGTATAATTTATTACTTATGATAATATAGTTTTTTAAGTACATACTACTAGAAATACTGCATTAAATATATAGTTCAATATTTTCTAACTACTAATACAAAAAAAATTATTTATATTCTAAATGTACCTAACAAGAGTTTTGAGTTTACATCAACATTATTCAAGTAGATAATATCTTTTACTAAAATAGTGCAATATAATATAATTATATTATACATTAGTATTAACTGTTTTTATAAATGATTTTCTATTCGTAATTTGTATTAATAACTTATGTACTCTGCAGTTAACAAAAGTTTTATATTATACTGATAATTGTAATGTTATTTTTTAATCAAATATAAGTACTATAACATAAAATCTTATAATAAAAAATAAAATAATGTTTTTATTATTGTAGAATTTGAATTATTTCTTAGCTTAAGTTGATTTCTACGTGTGCAATTATAATTATTACAATAATTATTTATGTAAATCAAATGCACCAAACCAAGAAAACATTTAAATAAAATGTTGGTTATTATTTGTTAAATTCTCAAAGTAATTATTATATGCTAGATATTTGAGATTTCAATTAGAAAAAATGTTAATCCAAAAACTAGACCCAACTACCATATTTAAAATTACTTCTTTAGCAAAAAGATTAATGCATTAGTTTATGACATGTTCTTAGTTAAAAAAGTAATTTTTGATTGCAAATTAGATCTAGTTAAATGGTAATTTATACACAAACCCAGCTTTTGACTAGAATATTTTTTTTATTTTTTTTTTTTTGAAATTCAAGAATTATCTGCAGACTCGAATTTTTATCAAAATCTTATACTAGCATTTTCTAGACATGATATAGTTTTCAAAATACTATATCTCTTTTTTATATTTATAGATATAGATTATAGAATGAAAATTTTCACTTTTAAATTTTTTTTTTTCAATTATTTATATATGACAATTTTGTTAAAAATTTTATCAATTTTTATATTGTACCTCAAAAATATTAAGTTTTTCTTTATACATTTAAAAAAAAATATTTAGCCATAACCCATACTTAATTTTTATGGCCATTTTAAAATCAAATTCTTAAGTATTTAATGTAATAATATACATCTAATACATAAGAGAATAAAATAAATAATGATTTATCATTTATGCAGTTTCTAATTCTTTGGTAAATACTTAACAAAAATTTGAAGCATTACACTATGTATTAATCAAATAATAATTATTTACCTCCTATTCTCAGTTAAATTTTCAAAATATTTTGACAAATTTTTAAGTAATGTACAAGATTTTTAAGTGTTTTAAGTTTTTTTTTTTTTTTGATTTATGTTAATTAAAATATGTATAGTCAATCATAAAACAATTAATAAAAGATCTCGCATATGTTTTTATAAAAAAAAATTAAAATTTTTCAAAAATACGTAAGTACAGTTATTTTTCTATGTTTTTAAAATTATAAATATTTGATATTTTTAAATCATTTTGCGTTTAAAAATTGATTTAACTTAAAAAAATTTTTTACTAAGTCTTAAACTCATGAACATTTAATTAAACCAGTGGTTCCCAACCTGGGAGGCGTATACACATCGCTGGAGAGGCACAAGCAGTCATCACAAAGTAAAATTTTTATTTATCAAATTTTATTATATTTAAAATTCCAATATAATACTATATTATTTACAATTATTTATATTTTATAATTACTATCATCAATAAAAAAGTAGTCTTTCCGAATATTATATAGTTTATTTGTAAAATCTAAAGTAAACAAAAAAATTATAATTTTTTCAATTTATAGGTGGGGGGGGGGGGGAGCAAGATTTTTGAAAATCTACAACGGGGGCGTTGAATAAATAAGGTTGGGAACCACTGAATTAAACTATATTATACTCATAAACCGTTTCTTGAAAAAATCTAAAAATATCAAAAATAGGTACATATTACATTCAAATTTTATAACATTTGGTACTTAACAAAAATAAAAAATATTACTTAGTTATTTTGTTGAAATTCAAAAATATTAAGTAAGTCATATTTTACCTATTAAATTTTTATAATAATATTAATTTAATTAATTTTATACCTATCTATTTAAACCATAAACCTGTTAGCAAACTGTTTACAATTTGACTTTTCCTCAAAATTTAATAAAAATTAATGAGATAAATGTCTTGCGTTTTAAAAAAAAATATTCAACATTTCAACCTACCATATCGATGTAACAGTAAAACCTCTAAATACTTGACATTCATCGTTTGTTAAAATGTTTTCAGCTATTTGAAGGGACATACCATTCTAAGGGTTATGTATTCACAAAAACAGCCTTTATTTAGAGGTGTCTGATAGATGAGGTTTTCTATACCAAGAGAATAATAAATTAGGTGTTTACTAATTAACAATTACGGTATAGTATATAAAAAAATGTTATGGCTTAATTCTTAATATAGACTGTTTGATCTAATCGTTTTTCATGTGCAATAATTTATCGCTGAATTCAAAATTCCAGATTTAATACGTGCACGTCCATTATGGTGACTCAAGTAGGTACTCAATTATGATTTATGAGATACGCTAGGAACCTACGTACAACAAAGTGACTTTCCAATTTTTTTCTTAGAGATTTATACAATTGTGCAAGATCGTAGAATAGGTATATAAGTATAATTTTATTATTAATTACACTAATTACAGTAGAATCTCGGTAATCCGGCCGTTCGATAATCCGATACGTCCAGTAATCCGGCAGTATTAACCTTTATGTACCAATATGTATTTATATAAATTTACCATCGTAAACAATAAACCGTTACTTAAATAAAACTAAGTAATAACAGATTAAATCCTAATAAACAAAAAGAAAACTGCTCTCAACCTAAAATATTTTTAAATCATTTTTTAATACGAATAGAATTGTAAAAATGTAAAATTCAATAAGTAAAAATGCGTCTTTTTTTTTAACTCCCCACTAGTCCGGCATTTTTGTTAATCCGGCAGTAGCGTTAGGTTATGATATGTGTCGGATTACCGAGATTCTAGTGATTCTACTGTATATTTATAATATGCAATATATTTAATATTTTTTATTGTTTATTGACTTTATTGTCTTCGAATTACTAGCCAGTAGTCAGTACGCAGTAGTGCAGTACCTACTTACGATTTAACATGATATATATCTATGATATATTCTAATATTTTTAGTTAACATTTTTAGATACCTATAGTCACTTGAAAGTTGAAATCTCACGATTTACACAGTGTGACCGTTTACGATAACGATACTTTGTCGTCTAATATTGTTTTACTGTTTCCAGATATGTAGTTTTTGCTATCAAAATCAAATTATCAATACAATCACCATAACACGATTGAGATTTGAGATATTAAAAATTCTAATACTAATATTTAACAATACTGTATAAAATTACTATTTGCTAATGTCTACCGAATATATGATGTAAATATTAAATAATATAATATAACTATTATTTACTCACTGTATTCTCGTCATCTTGTTCCTTAATTACCTGATCAAAGTATTCTATTCAACTGTTCGATCATCTAATTTGTATACAATAAAAAAATGTTAAAGTAAATTGTATTAAATTACCACCGCCGTTAACCATTCTAAATGTATTATAATTATAGTTTTTAACAAACCTCAAATGTAACTACAGTGACTGTAGCTACTTCATCACAACTGGCAAGATGCTTTTTTATATAATATATAGCCATATTTTTAACAAACAGTTACACAACATGCCTTCGTTGGATGGTAAAACTAACCAGTATAGACCGTGAAGTGGGAGATACGATATTGCTGTTTTTTTTTTCTTAATATGGGCTGTGGTCCTAGTCATTTTGGAATCTCATATTCCAGAAAGACCAAGAAGAAAAAAAACAAGCACAAAGAATCTGGTAATATATATTATATACTAATATTTATCTTATAGTGTTCTGTATTTCACATTTTACAGTCCTTAAACAAACACGTACATGTATTTAATCATTATATTTCTATAGGGTAGTGTGCAATTTGAATTCTGAAAACTTGTTGATGTTTTACTTTACTATACATGTAATACTATATACATGTGAGTAATCTTAAGTTAGGGGATATATTTATTTAATTTATTTATATAAACATATATTAAGGAGTTTGCTTTATTTTAATTTCAACATTGGACTAAAATACAGAATTGAATTTCCAAGAGTATAAATTATTTTTTAAAAGGGTTAATATGTTCTATGCATTTTCTAGTTGACCCTTTAATATTTATTATTATAGGCACACTGTACAATGTCGATAAAATTATTTACTTTAAATTCATTAGATATTTTTGTACTGGATAATTTTTTTCACACAATTCAGTATATTATAGATAAAGTAGTTCAACTTAATTATTTTTTCAGATAAAATGGCTTTAGTATACCCAGTAGAGTAAATATATAAAAATACTATGATATTCAAGAATCAAGAATATATAGTACTATAAAATTAAAATAATTTATTTTAATCAATGTTCAAATTTATTTACTATTATACAACAATCAAAATGTCTTATTAATAACCAATTGTTTTTTTAGATGATGAAAAAAGTGAAGGCAGTGTTTATGAAAATCATGTTGAGGAACCAATACAGCTGACAAGTACACCGTCTGTAAACAATTTATGTGACATGTCTGAAATGGATGATTCAAGTCCACTACATCAACGTATGTCAAGTCCACAGTCTTCCACTTCGTTATTTGTCAATCCGTAAGCAACTATTTCTTTATTCATCATTAATAATTATAATAGAGTACTTATACATAATTCTATGTATAGACAATTATCTTCTAGTCAACTCAATTTCTTTAGAATGTTAGATGAAAAAATAGAAATGGTAAGTGATGATCAATCTACTATATTCTCATTTTGAAAAAAATAATTATCATTATTATTTTCTATTAATACAATATAAATTTTACTTTAGGGCGCAGATTATACGCAAACTATTGAAGAACAACGTTTGGAAAAAATTCATCGTACACATGCGTTATTAATGGAATGGGAACGAGCACGAATACGCAATTCACCAAAACCTTGCTCAAATTCTAGATCCCGTTTTTTACGTAACCCACGACAGCCACATTTTCGAGTTTCTCATTCAGTTGTTCAATTTGACCAAGAACAAGGTGCTTTCCATACTGAACTCATATGAAGTACAAAATGTATTATTTATTTTAATATATTAATTGGCATTTTTATAATATTTTACATTTATTTGTATATATTGTAGCTACATTTGTTGAATGGTATTAATTTATATCAGTATTAATGACAGTTAAAATAATGTAAAATAAATAATAACATAAATTATTTACAGTATGAAAAAAAAGTTTGGATATCAATGAAAATCTATCTAAAACTGTTTTATTTTATAAGTATTTGTCAAAATCTTTTATGTTTTTACATAATTGAAACAATTATTTTAACTTAATTGATTGTGATGATAATGCTAGATATTTTCGGACTGATCATCATTTATTATTCTTTATTGTAAATTGATTCTTTTTATAATAATATTTTAATATCTAAAATATTGTTTTATTTTAATGTTATTATTGTTAAATGTCTATAATTTTAAAAAATTGCAGCTAATATTATACCCATAAGACTTGAAATGTGCTATAATTTAAATATTATTAATAATTATGACTTAGCTTAGTACTGTTTTTCTCTAGTCTGTTTACCAAATCCTATTTAGTAAATTAATTAAGTGTATATTTTAAATCATAACTTAATGTTAATTAATTGGTGCGTGCAATATAACATCTGAAATTAATTCTGTGTGATGTGTATTAGAATATAGCTGATCAACCTATACACTTGTTATATGATAATTTTTAAATACTGAATATACTAGCATTATACATAACACTTGTTATTAAAGTTCATTTGTTTTGTTGGTCAGTATTGTGTCAATGCAATAGAAAAATCATAAACTATTATAATTTATGTAAGTTGTAAAGTACAATCATAAGAAGGCTTATTAAACTTTTGCTAGTCATTAAATATTAATAGTTGAAATCTGTAAGGCTTTTGTATTGTTTACTATTGTTACTCATTATTTATTAGCATTTAATTATACACTCCAAGTATAAGTCATTTATTAAGTACTTATATATTTCTAATCCTAATCTAAATTGTATATTATGTTGATTTGACTTTATAAAAATTAAATATTATTAAAAAAAAAAAATAGTGAGTTCCTGATTATTTAAACGTTTGTATTTTTTGCTTGCAAATTCATCACTTAATTATTAATCATTGAGTAATATTTATGTTTTTTTTTTTTTTCTATGAGTATTAATTATACTAATTTATTGTAATTTTATGTTTTTTATAAATGTAACTAACTTCAATTTCAGAATTTAATGCTGAGTTCAATTCATTCCAATATTGATTTTAGAAGTATGTTTAAACTTTGAGCCATCATTTTTTCATAGTTGGATTGAATTGATCATAGCTACTTAGATTACATATTTAACTATTGAATCTTGATTGCTTTAGTTTATTATCATCTAGTTTATTTTAATTATGATACTAAATTTGTAGTGTTGGTATTTATTCATGCTACATTAACAATTGTTGTTGATATTATATCATTATTCATTATGATAAATTATCTATGCCTGTGGCAAGCTAAACGTTAAAGTGTTATACTAAATTACTATAAGATACAATTACAATTATTAAACTTATTACATATTTTTATTATTGTACATTAAAAAAAAAATAAAAAAAAAACAAAGGCTGTGAGTCAGAGTAAATTTTTAAGTTTTCCTTGTACTTAACATGTATTTATTAATATATGACTGATTTTTTTTTTCCACTAATTTACCTAGTTTAAATTATTGTTTTGTAAATAATAATTTACTCTGCTAAAAAAATTTAATTGTTTGTGGTTTTGTGTGTAAAATAAATTTTGTCTGGATTTTCTATTGTTTTTATGAATTTAAATTTATTTCTGATAACTAATATACATTGAACAAGGAGTGTCCAAAAAATGTGTGTATGTCTTCTTCCTGTTATTTTAATATCTTTAGTATTGGCTAGTATGAATTTACTAGTAGAACTGTTTTATAATACTATTAAAATATTTATATTAATGATATAATTTTACAATTTTAGTTTAATGTACTAATATTATGTACATTGTTCATTAAATTAACATAATCATAAATTTATATGTAACTATACCTACTGTAGGTAACTAATAGATAGATGAACTAAAGAGGGGTTATAAGTTATTCTAAAATTCTTTATTTTTTAATTCTAAGAATGGGTTTTGATAGCAAATTGGATCCAGTTTGTACTTAAAAAAGGTGAAAATTCTCAGTACTTCTTTTTATAATCAAAGAAAAATGAAAAAAAAAAATAATGAAAATATAGGAATTTGTACGTAAATACAATTATCAAAATTAATTTAGTTTTTTGGTGAAACTCATCAAGAACAAATAACCTTAAAAACTTAAAAAATGAACCAAATGTAACATTTTCATTTTTTTATATAGTGTTATTTTAAAAATATTTTGATTCTTTTTAAATTATTTATATACATGTGAAATTTTCGAATTTTTTTAAATTTTTTTCTACAAATGTCGATAAAAAATTATTCTGTGTATAAAATTCATTTGGTAGGACTCCTAAAAAAATTAATACTAAGCTCCTCATAAGTTGTTTAATTTTCGATTAAAAATTTCATAAATCTTTTTCAATATTTTTTTATAAGCTTCTAAATTTACAATTTTGTCAAAATCTCAAAAATGTACAAATTATTTCACAGTTAAAAATTCATTAAAATTCTTATTTTTGGGACCTAAGTTTTTATATATATGTATATTATATATTATTATATAATGTTCTTCTCAAATTTTTCAACATATATAATACAAATTCTGCTTAAAAGCCAAATTAATATATCTAATATATAATACTTATAAAAGTGTACAACTATTTCTCTTCAAACAATTTTGAATATTTGGTTGTATTAAAAAAAAAAAAATAATAAACATTTAAAAATGTTTCCCAAATATTATGTGTAATCATTATCAATTATCATTTTCAATTATCGCTCCCTCAGAATCTCAAATATTATTCAGATTCGTGATGAGAACATTATATAGTCACTTCCTGAAACCTGGAGTAAAAGCGAAATCCTTAAATTTATTAAATTGAAAATTATATTAGAAAATAGTAGGTAATGTACCTAATGGGCATTGGCTAATATAAATATACCCATATTCTGTGTTTATATTATGTAGCGGCCGCGTGAGTTGTTAAAGTGAACAGTGTTTCTGTCTACTAAGCGAAAATGGTATTATATTAAATACTTGATAAATTAACGTTGTCGACAGTGGTGATAAAAACAAATGATAATAGGATTTAGTCCATTAAAAAATGTGTTATTCTTTTGAAATAACTAAGTTTAACAATTACTGACAATATAATTAAACTTTATAATTTAAGACAAAATCAAAATTACTAATAATGTTGCCGTTAAACCAAGACAGTGTGAAGAACCTCTTCAATAAAGAATTTGATTTCGTTAGTGCCGTTCTAAATCAGGTGAAATTTCCGGAGCGCGTAGAAGACTCAGGTAAATTGTATAAACATGTGCATTTTCATTTCAAAAAAATATTGCTATACTTATACACAAAATAATTATTGAAGACTTATTAGTTTCAAATGTCGAGTGACATTAGTCATAAGTAAAATCTACTTTTTTGTGTGAAATTATATTATATTATAAGTTAATTATAATTTTTTTTTAGTGTATGTTTTGTGTTTATACACACTATAAGCTATTTAAACCAATGTAATAGTTAATAAGTTTGAATGTCATTTTTGTAAATCACATGATGTATAATTTATTTCTTTGTATACTCTTTCAGATTCAGAAGAAAGCGATAGTGATAAAAAAGTCAGAAGTAAGCTTTAATTTGTTATTTTACTTGCATATTTTAACTATATTTTTGACAGTTTGATTTTGTTTAGAACCAATACTTGCAAGCGACGAAATAAATAGAGCCCAAAGTTTAGATGAACTACACACAAGACTTGCTGCAATAAGAGGTAATGAATATTATTTTTAACCCTAGAACTTTATTTAATATGCTAGAAAAATATATCTTTGTATTTTAAAAAACGATTATTTTGATTTAAAATGTAAGTTAGTACAATACATTCTGTGTGTTATTTCCTGGCCTCTAACTGTAAAAAATATGCAACCCCAACAATTAAACTTGCTTTTTCATCAATGAAAATATTCTTCTAGAATGTTATTTGAGTTACTTATAATAATGGCATTTTGATTCAAATATACAGTATCATCAGACCATATAAGTAAAGTTAAAATTGTGGCTATTTTAGAATGGTTCTGATGGTGAAATATTTTCTATAGTAGTATCTACAAATGTATTTACTGTTTAAAATAACTTTTTAAATATATATATTATTTGTCAGGGTCATATATTATAATATTTAATGTTTAGTAATAGCCAGTGATAAGTAAAATAACTAGTTTTGACTAACACTACTGTTACGACTTAAATCCAATTATTTTATTATATTACAAATAATATGTCAAATACATAGTATTATAATTATTAAATAAACTCTTTTTTCATTTTTATTTAGAAAAGAAATATACATACCGAGGAAAAATAATTAAAAACAAACTTCAAAATAAGATTAAAAGAAAAAAAAAGATACATGAAAAAACTAAAGGTGAAAAGAAACCTAATGATACTGTTGAAAAAACAAATGAAAAATCTTCTAAAGTAAATGGTACTAATAGCAAGGCTAAATTAGTATTCAATAGAATAAATTTCTTAGGAGAACAAACCGAAATCACTGCACCTCCAACAAGTACAAATGCAAAGGTGGCTTTAGATGAAATTAAAACTAAGCAACAAATGTATAATGAACTGGAAAAGTCTGGTGAAAGCGATAAAGCTAAAGAATTGAAACAACGGGATGCTTGGAATAATGTCTTGGCTAAAGCTGAAGGGGTAAAAGTTAAAGACAATGTGGATTTATTAAAAAAAACCATTGCTAGGAAAGAAAGACAAAAAAAGGTTAGTGCAACAAAATGGGAAGAAAGGAAAAATACTCTAGAAAAGACCAAGAAAGAAAAGCAAGATAAACGTACAAATAATTTATTGAAAAAGAAACAAGAAAAAAAGGAAAAAATAAAAAAGAAAGCTATAAAAAAAGGCCGGTTTGTACCCGGCATAAATTAATAAAAAATGTTTATAAGTATAAAAAAATTGGCGATCTTATTAGAAATTATAAAATTATCAATAATATTTCACAAGTTTTTTTTTTTATACACAAATATGTAATAAATATATATTAATTGTTATACATATGTATTAGATAACAACTAAATGTAAAAAATTATCCAGGTAACTCATGTGTTCACTCATCCATTGAACTGGTGTTTCAAGAGGTATGCATATGCCATGAGTAAAAATTTTAGCTGAAAACAAATAATATTTTTTTAATATTAAAACAAACATGAAAATTTTATAGACAAACATACGATTATCCACTGATGGATAATTAAGTTTTATTAATTCTCCTAATGTCATATGATTTCCATCTTCTGAAACTGGCTTAACTAGTGTTTGTGTCATAACTGATGATCCCGATCGATAAAAATGTACAGGTATGTGTTTAAAATAACTGCCATCAGATGGTTCCATTAGTTTTTTATTCTCTGACCAAAACTGATCAAATTTATCTGGAAACATAATATTTTATTATTTTACAAAAAATATTTAAGAAAAAATCTATTCACCATTAAGTAGTCCAGTCCATAATTGATTATGTTGATGTCGCTGCATAGTTGAAAATACTTGACTTCTGTGCTTTAGCATATCGGCTTCTTTCATTGCTGACATAAAATTAGATTCTACAGTTTCTCTACAAAAAACATAAATTATTTTTTATTCTTAGAATAAATTGATTAATAGTTTTTTACCGGCATGAGCATCGCAGTATTTGATCTTCAGGAAAATTATCAAAGTGAACAGTTATTTGCCATGGTAAATCAACTTGTTTATCATCAATTGTAAAGAGATCATAAAGAACACCAATTGGTATATTCCTGTATAAATGAAAAACTATTACAATATATTTTCTATTGATTTCAATATTTATTATTTAATTATAAACTAAATCTTATACAAATGTTAATTTTTTATATGAAATTATAATGGTAATTGATTCATATTATAGATAACCTGTTGTAAAAAATAAAAATATTTGAATTAGGTCAGTAACATTTCCAACACGAGAAAAAAAATTACATTAAGTATCTAATAGGTGAAATAAGACTAAGATAAAACAACTGTTTATCCTTGATGGGTTATAAATTGTCATTCAATATTTTAATCACCACTATAATAGTAATAAAACAAAATAATTTAGTAAAATGTTAAATAATAATACTAAAAGTATAATGGATCAATTTAAACAATCAAGATATAATGCCACAGTGTAAAATTTGAACATTTTAATTGTTAAAATGATTTGGTTCAAAAAATTTGAATAATTACTCACAAGTTATTATATTTTACAATAATAACATTGTTTATAAAAAAAGTTTTAATTAATTTCACTTGGTTAGCTGGTTTTGGGGTAAGACAGGCATATCTAATGTTCTAACTCAAGTTAATTTGAATCTTAATGATGATGAAGTATAATCATTAGTAAGGAAATTGAAATAACTATTTAAATTAGTATTAACACAATAACTTACCATTTTAATGGAATATTCTTAAATTCTAACCACATTTCCATTTCTTGTTTTTCAGGATCCACATGCTTCACAAAATGTTTTTTTGCCTTAGGAAATATAGTTTAGATATTAATAAAATACATTTATTATATTAGTTAATAGTTTTCTTGTATAAAGTCTATTACCTAAGGCTAGTATTTAATGCTAGGCTAGTAAAATAGTGCTAATTTAATATCTCTAGACCCGTATAAAAAAAACTAGCTTTGTTTTTAAATGAAAAAGCTACTAAGCTATTGTCTTAAACCAAGATGATTAATAAGATAAGGTTCTATTTATTTTCTCGCTATCCTACCTTAAAATATTAAACTTGTTCAGATCAAGTATAAGTAAATTTAACAGAAACTTAAATTTATATTTATATTAACCTTAAATGTATTTCTAATAATAATTTACAAAATTACATAGGTAGTAAGTTGGTTGTTTTTACCTCATTTCAAGCAATTTTCAACTAACGAAATGAAAATAAGTTAAGATTTTGAACAGAAATCTAAACCCAGAAACAGTCAATAAGTGGTATAAACTATATTTTAAAACTACCACGAGAAATCAATAATATTATTTTTCAGAATAATCACTGAATGGTTTTAAATCAATTATATAACTAGCATAGACGTAATTAAGGAGACTTGGGGGGCTTAGTTCCTCTTTCAATTGGAAAATAACCCTCCCATAATGCAGACAAAGCCCTTCATGAGTTAGTACATGTCTATCTCTAGGAGGGCTAGAGCTCCCCAAAAAAATTAACCACCCTACAAGTATGATAGCTAGGTATATTACTTTATTGGTTATTAAACTATAACATTACCACGGTCATCTCAAAAATAATACACCATTGACTGACTATCATGACAATAGTAATCAATTGATTCTTATAAATCATATTGATATTTTTTGCTAACTTACTTTATCACAGACCAACGGAAAGTAACTCATTCGAGGTACCATCAAGTAAAATGGCTCTGGATTTTGTATACCATGAATTTCTTGTTCATCTAGTTGAAAACATACAGGTAACTTTCCATTCCATAAATAGTGAAGAATTTCCGTATCGTTTGCCATTGGAAACGAAACGGTTTTAATGGACCATAGAACAGAATTTTATATTACGACGTCTTCTATTCCGTGGGACTAATTTTGGTGATTGTTCAATACCTATTTACATTTTGTAATTTGGTAGAACTATTAAATAGTCTAGTACAACTTTTTACTCTACTGTATATAGTATTATATTATTTTGTTGAGTTAGGTGCATTATCACTTATTACTTATTATCGCGTTATCTATACCACTTCGGCCGCTCTTAACGCAAATAGTTTAGATAACATTATATAAACAACAACAGCTGTGTAAGTAGTATGACAATATGAGCTAGGCACGGTCGTGATAATGATGGTAACATAATAACACGGTTTAATATTATATTATTTATGCTATTTACCTATATGAGCATATGGCTGTACAGTGTATACCTATATATTTAAGATATTTAACATCGTTCGATCATGACACCTACATCTACGATTTATGATTTAGCTAATGTTTTTATTATCGGACAACATTAATGATAAGTTACAACTAAAAAAATACAGAATAATAAAATATCCGTACCTAATTAGAGTCTAGACACTAGTGCGAGTGTCTGTGGTTCTTATTATATTCGTTTATCAGTTTATCGCTCAGATCATATGTTAGTGCCAATAATTAAGGACAAAATTAGCAAAACTTTTTATTCTTATACCAAGGTCGACAACCCTATTGTGGTATATGGTTAAATATATCTTCAACATTAATGATAAATTGAAGCTTGAGCAAAATTGAAAATACTTAGTACGATCTCAAATGTGCACTTACCTATAAGTATAACCTATAGGTATAGGAATATGGCTATAAATAGTTCAGAGAAACTTTAATGTTATTTAAAACTTCTCTTAAGATTCGATGTCCAGAGTTCATTCATCAGATTTGATTACCGTAGTCAGATAGGTGTACCTATATGGCTATATACACAGAACAAAAAACCATTGATAAAGTTATTAGTTAATAGTTTTCTATTCATAACATTAACATTTACAAATTTGTGTTCAGTAAAATCGAATTTTAGCAATTGTGCTGTTAGCTTCAATATATTAAATTGAATTGACCTATAAATTATAATCAAACTTAAAGGTAAGCTTTAATACTATGTATATTTTATAACTAATGTATACATTATATTATGCACAATTTAACAACTTGTCAGGAATATTCCTTGTATTAAATGTTCAATTTTTTGACCTTCTTTTTTTAATTTTATTTAAACAAAATAATACCTATTTATAATTTGTAAAATATATATATATATATATGCAATAAGTAAATTTGGTTACAAAATAAATCAACAATATGAATAACGCGAGGACTGAGGAGGGAGGCTCACCTGCAGTATGGAAACCCTCTAACTTGGGAAGATGAGAAGTATTTTTTAGTTAATCAATACGAATCGGGATTTAATAGAGATCTCAATTATCGCAGGATTTTTTTAATTGACGTGGGCGGGTTTATCTGGGATGAAATCATCTGTTAAGTTAGATACCTACTACTGCAGTGAATTTATGTAAGTATAGGTCTAACCTATAGGTTATAACTATAGTTGATTAGGTGTGTATTTTTTTAAATTAATTATAAGCTGTAATAGAGACTATTTAAATTTTTAGGTCTTTGTTTAATGAGAAGTTTGAGATGTATTATGGCGCATTGGCGCAGGTGCAGTTAACTTGGTGAAGAGAGATTCACTGAAAGACCTGGATGATACCTACGGTTTTTAGGAATACTTGGCACATCGCCATATTTAAATGCCATAGCCATGGCATTGGATTTATGTACCTATGTTTATATATACCTATACCTAATATTATTATGTAACTGTGTTACTATTTTTTGTGAAAGCAATACGATAAATATTATTATCTATTTTTTTAGTTACAGTGAGATAATTTTTTTATAAATCATATGTGTAGTGCAGGTAACGAAGCTATGCAATTATTATTCTCTGTAAAATATATATATATATATATATAGTTTATGCGTTATATACATAATTTTTATTTGTATTTCGTATATAACTAGGTAATTATACAACTTATTTTAAATCATATAAGATCAAGTAAATTTACGTGTAAATTATAGTCAACTGCAATATCAATTAATGCCTAAAATTATAATATAACTGCTATTATTATTTCATAAATATATTTAATTTCATTATTATATAATATATATAGGTAAATATATGAACCATTGTCCATTATATGAGTGTATAAATATGTATTATTGGTACAGGGTTTGCAGGGTACTAATATTAATTAAGATATACCTAGGTAAGTTAGGTATAATTTTATAGCTTTTTAGCAAAGTTTATACAGTCAAAAAATGATTTACTAAAATAATTAAAAAAAAAAAAAAATATTACGCAATGTAAATATAAAAATAGTTATAATTATCTATTATATTTATTTATAATTTAAGCGACTACTACAATATATATATAAATAGGTTAATAAATTTTTTTTTATCAAATATAAAATACAAATACTTATAGGTTTAAAAATTAAATTATATATATAAATTATTTTATATACATATCTAGTTCCTACAATAAATTATAATAACGTATGATGCTATGCATTTCTTGATAACTGCAGCAGTTTAATATATCGATAAATAATAAATATATATATTAATCTTTAACGATCTGTATAGTCCAGAATATGATCTTTTATACCTAATTTACACCTGTAATCTGTATATAACTCTTATAACTATCCGTATGTGCTCATATGATTATCATAAAAATAATGTACAATATATATGGTTTCAAGAGAACCCGCATCCATCATAATATCATTGCAGAGTTTAGGTCACTAATACAGATGATATAATATTATATTATATTTATTATAGTTTGAATTAAATGTTAATATTGTTAATAATCATTGTAGTATATATTTAATAATATAATAATAATAAATTAAACGATAAACAATTTTGAATGGAGACGGTGGGCCAGCTATATAATATCTATTTCTTATAAGAATATTTTACACAATATTTATTTTAGTACGTTACTACTAAGTAGTAACTATATATAGTAAGTCTTACTACCTATATATAATATATTATATTATAATACCCAATTTATTTTTCTATTAGCGCAATTGCTGTTAATAGGTTTATACACGGTTTATTGAACTAATTTTTAAAGTATTATACATTTTATACGTGATAGCGTTAAAACAATAATAGGTAACATATATTAATGTATAATATATTATTATTTATTTAAATTTAATTTATATATATTCGTAAATATAACGGTGTGAGACATGTGTATATATATATAGATTCATTGTATAAATAGGTAATAATTTCAAACTTAATTTAAATATTTTCAAAGATTGTACTAATAGATACAAATAATAATAATAATATATATACGCGTGATGATGGAAAAAAGCATAAAAATATATGTTTATAGTATATATTTAACAAAATATTAGCTGACTATATTATGTATAAATTATCAATGAATTTATTAATAATTTATCCGCTTTAATTTACATAATATATACGTAAATTTACATGAAATTTAGTTAATTGGTAAGCACATAAAACTTGAAAACAAATAATGAACCGGTTGGGCTCATTAAACTTATTATTTAAATAAATGTAACAACAATTTTTAAAAAGTACCTATAATCATGTAAAATTATATTCATATACATTTAATCATATTTATTAATAAACCTATATAGATAGTTATGTTGTTTTATAACATATTATAATGATGAAATTAATACTGAGCCTCTAGTTAAAAATCATTTAAATCTAATAATTTCTTATCTGATACAAAAATATCAGAAATCTGAGAATATATATATACATATATGTATATGTATAAATACAAAGAATAAATATAGCATGTACCAATATTTTAAATGAATATAGTATGCGGTTAATTAGGTATATATATATAGTTAATTCAGAATTATACTGTTTTACAAATATAAAATCTAACAATTTTTTTTATAGGATTAAACAATAATAGCGCGTGTTATAAGCGGAGACCTATATAGGTATAGGCTATAAGTGAACAATCTTTATTATATATAATAATATATATATATTCTTATATTAAATCTATTTCTTCAAGAATATTTATTATAAAATACGATATTATATAAAATGGTAAAATATAATTGTTTTACAAATTATATACATAGGTATAAATATGTGTGTGTTATTATCGGTAATTTTAATAATAGTTGAGAAGAAATAATGGTGTTTTATTTCATATATTGCATCAAGTATACACCTATATAATAATATATAATAGTTATAAGTTATTAAGTTTTGAGAAAATAATTAAAAAGGAAGTTATATATATATATTGTGTATAAAATGTTTTACATTTCCATTTACTATACCTATATATATATCTATTATTCTATTGAAAATGTTCTTCTTTGATGTAGGTATTTTATAAATTTTATTGATTAATTAATGTCATTTAAATAATTTTCATATTGAAATAAATAGTTTCAAAGTTATTAAGTATCTATAATTAATATTATGGCGAGCGAATTAAACTATATATTATACAATTTATATGTATGTATATAATTCATATTAAATCATGTTAAAATGGTACTCTCACTGGCGAAAACTTAACACAAAACTCAACAAAATAAAAAATAATATAAACCTATGGAAAAATCCCGGCCTCAATAGAAAAGAAGAAACCATAATAAACCGCCTCCGAATTGGACACACACACTTAACACACAGCTACTTGATGAGTAAAGATGATCCTCCACTATGCGACTCATGCAGCGTTCCTTTAACCGTCAACCACATCATCACCGAATGTCACAAATACAACCAATATCGAAACCAATTCCACATCTCCGAACAAATCTGTCAAGCACTTGGACCAAACCCACAGGACATTAAAAACTTAATTTTATTTTTAAAAAAAACTGAATTGTATAATTTAATTTAATGTAAAAATGTAAATACTTAAAATACCAACAATGTAATCAAAAAAATTCTTGTACTAATGGCCTAGCTGTCGATGTGTTTTAGATCAATAAAAAAAAAAAAAAAAAAATCATGTTAATTAATGAGGGCCATATAGCCCATAATTACACATTTGTATGATAAAAAATAGAATGGAAAATTAAAAATAATTAATGACAAATTATTTAGGATATTGAGATGCTAAACCTGAAACTAATAATATATATATATTATAGTTCATAATCTATTTATTATTATTTTATCTTGTATAATATTAATAGCTATTATATTGCTCACACTTGTTAATAATACTTTTTTTTCTATAAGTAGGGACTAGAAAAATTGTCTTCGAATATAAAATTATAATTAATTACACATTCACACGCATGCCATCATATATGTGTAAAATAAATACATTATACATTTATACATAATTCATTAATATCTACTTTCAAATTTTATCGTCATACCATAAATTACTTCAATAACTGCATTATCCATTACAATGACCCACTTGAAACTTGATATCTAATTTATAGCAGAGAGGTGTATTAACTATATTTTCTGTATAATATTTTTTAATTGTTCTTGTTTATATTGATATAAGTATATATACAAATAAGTTAAGGATAATAATTGTAAAGTGTTGAATTTAGAGTTTTCAATGGAATAGGTAATAAAAAAATAAAACCTCACGCGTTTACAAATTTAAGTTTTTATTTAATTATTTTAATATTTTTAATTATTCAGTAAATTAATGATCACATCAAGGAGACTATGGTTAATGTAATGAAGTTCAAATACTTTTTCATTATACCTAAACAAAATAATTCTAATTAAAATATACATATTTTGAATAACTTTTTTTTTTTGCTTTTTATGTTCTGGCCCGCTAGATCTTAATTTTCTAAAAAGTGCACTTTTTGACCCTGTAATTTTTAGTTGCCCATCCCTAGTACATACCTAAACATTAACCCCCCTTCCCCCATTCAAAAATTCTAACTATGCCTGCAATGCATGAGGGACATCACACTTAAATACAAATTCAACATGAAAATTGATGTTATTACATATGTCATAATGAAATACCTGAATATACTTTATATACTTAAAGTACATATTATTATTTACCAGTGGAAACTTATATATTTATAAATTATGTTACATATAGATATATAATATTAGGTTGGGTTACTTTATAATGATAAAATTAATATTGTACGTTATTTATATCTATATATAATATTAAATTCTGCGGACCTAGGAAATTAATATACCTATATATATATATAGGTAGATTATATATTGATTTTACAATATGTTATAATAATAATTATATGATAATATTATTATAGGGTAGCAGAATAAATGCAATAATTAATCTTTAATATTTGTGCCTGCGGTATGTGTAGTTATATATTTAGCAAATTGAGCCTAAAATGTAATAGTACTCACTACTTTGAGACTTAAAAGTAGGTTAAAAGTAGAATGTTCCAACTTTTGTTATTTCCTATATGGTATATACCTAGGACCTAGGTATATGTAACAATAATAAATTGTTTAAAATTCACAGTATACCTATTATATATAGGTAAAACACGATTGCGTATGTTTATGGATGAGATGTCAAATTTTGTCAAATTTATTAATTTTACCATACATTTAATAAATATCTAGTAAAATATGTACACTTCTATAACAGTCATTATAAAATTACAAAATATACTTAATGAGTATAATGAGAATATAACTAAATAATAGTAAAATAATTATTAAATATAAAAATCATCAATAAATTATTAATAAAGCTTAATATTTTGTACACAATAATGTAATAAATCAGGTAAAATCGTTTGCAATCGCGCGT